ATGTGGAACAAGCTATAGCCGAAGAGCAGTAGCTGTGAATATTTATTGATAATGTTGTGATGGCACAACACACCCACTGTAATTGTTACGGTTGTATCGGTTATAATTTCTGTTGGGCTGTTGACGTTGATTGTTTAACTCCAATCGTATCGTTTGCTGTATGAGTTCTACTAATTCCTGTTGATTGTTGACCCTATTGTTTGGATAAGGCGCATTATACTGTGCATGCCTGTCAGAAACATCCATTGGTGTAAACTGATTATATTGAGTATGTCTGCCTGAAGTGTCCATAGTTGTTAATTGGTTACTGTATAATGTTCCATTCGCAGGAGTTATGTATACAGTAGGTTGAGTAACATCCACTAGTTCAACGTTGTGGTTGTAATTATTGTGAGCGTGATGGGGTTGGGGCTTTTCTTGATATATGAGAGCTTGATTTGCGTTTCTTGGTATGAAAGGGTTATCATACATAGCTATTTTGCGTGGTCGATTGGCGTTCCACCATCCTTCTGCATGGTTAAGCCAGTCTTTCAAAGTTTTGGAACTACTTTGTATGCAGAACTGTTTAATTTCGCGTAGCAGTCCAGCACGGAATCTGCTTTCAATAATAGCCTCGTTATTGATTTCAGCCAAGTCGGCAGCTTCTCGTAGCCTTGCTAGGAATACTCTTGGGTGTTCTTGTTCGCCTTGGTATATTTCATTGAACTCAAGTTCATAATTTTGAATCAGTTCTGGGGTGATGTAATGCGACTTTAGTTCTGCAATAGCCAAATCAAAAGTGATATCCGGGTTGTTTCTGATTAGTTCTTTTTCGTAATAGATTTTAGCAGGTCCACGTAGTTGTGCTTTAAGTATTGTTAATTTTCTTGCTTCATTCGTGACGTTATTTAAACCAAGGTAGGATTCTAGTACTTCTTGAAAGTGACGGAAGTCCTCTCCTTCGTAACCGTGAAATTCAATGATTGGAGTGCGGTTATTGTTTGCCAATGCGATTTGTCCGTTGAAAAAGGCCATGTTGATAATAGGAAGTTGATATAAAAGGTTGTTTAGAAATTCGAGTTTGTAAATCTTGAGTGTTTTTGTTTAATTGATT